CTGAGCGGGTGCTCTACCAACTAAGCTAAAGAGGCTAGTGCTCACGTTTGACGTGCTTTTAAATGTTTACCTGGTGCAAGCCAAGGTTACGGGCTTGGGCCCGGGCTCCCAGGGGCTTGGGGCCCAGCGCTTGGGGCCGGGGTTCCAGGGGCTTGGGGCTCTGAAAAGTCCCGATAAGAGGCAGGCGAAAGGGTGGGAGACGGCTGAAACGGCTGCCGCGGAGGTGGGGGCCTGGAGGGAAGCGGGCACGGGATACCCCCTCTAGGCTGTAGGGGGCCTGAAGGGAAGCGGGCACGGAATAATTGCCCTAGGCTGTAACGGAGAAAAGAAGAGGGTTTTCACCCTCTCCGTTACTGAAACCATCCAACACGCCCCCCAAGGTCGGCGGACCTTACACCCTAAATCAGAAACCTTAATCCAAACCCTGAAAGCTTAAACTGGAGACCTCAAACCTTAAACCCAAGATCTTCAACCCGAAGCTTTGAACTTGAAACCCTAACCCCTGAAACTTAAGCGACAAACCAAAAGCTTTTTACGCAACAAGCGAAACTCCCCATTCCACGACTCCTGGGCATGTAGCTTGGACCTGAGGCCCTTAACTGTTTGGGGTTCCCCTATATTCCTATCATAGGTGCCTTAAGGTCAACTTTTAGACCCCTACACCCTAAACCCTGGACCTGAAGCCCTCACCCTAAATCCGAAACCCTGAACCCTACACCCTAGACCCGAAATCCTAAACCCACAAACCCTAAACCCTAAAGTGCCATGGTGACGAGGAGGGCATCTTCGAGTTTCTATCCAAAGTGCTGCATTCCTGGCCCGCAGGGACGCGACACGCCTGGTGCTGCATCCCGGTGAAGTTCAGTTGATAGAGTTTAAGGGTTTAGGGGTTATATAGGGAGAATGGAAAAGAATATGGAAGCTACTATACTGGGTTTTTATAGGATTTAGGGTGGGGGGCTTCAGGGTTGAGGGTGTAGGGTTTAGGACTTAGGATTTAGGATTTAGGGATTAGGGCTTCAGGGTTTCGGGTTTCAGTATTTAGGGCTTCAGGGCTTCGGGGTTTAGGGTTTCGGCTTCAGGGTTTAGAGTGTAGGTTTTAGGGTGTAGGGTTTAGGATTTTAGGTGTAGGGTTTAGTGGGCTATAGGGGCTGTATAGGGATGTTGAGGCACATTCTGGCGCGTTACAGGGATGTATGTTCAGGGGTTGGAGGTTTCCTGGTCTAATGTAAGGTTCAAGGGTTTGAGGTGTATGGGGTAGTTTAAGGGTTTAGGGTTCAGGATTTTACTATGCTCGAGGGTTTCCAGTTTAAGGTTTTAGGGGTTAAGGGCTTTGGGGTTATAGGGGTCAAGGGATTGCACGCTCAATTTCTGCAACGCACCCTGGCAAACGAATTTAGTTTACATTAGATTAAGGCTCCTATAGTATGACTTCAGGTACATTCCCTAATTAGGAGGCTTCTGGAAATTGTCGGAACCCGGAACTCCCTCAACACGGTGGCTTAGGGTTCAGGTTTTTTTGTAGTCCCAAGCCCTGTACACAAGAACATACTAACTAACATATGACTATGGTCGGGGATGGGGTTGCCAAACCCTAAACCTTAAACCTTAAACCCTAAACCTTAAACCTTAAAGCCTAACCCAACCCTGCACCTGAGCCATCCGCTGTCCTCCTGTGCGCCTTGCCTGGCGGCCAGTTCCTCCTGATCAAGGGCCACTGCCAGCTCACCGTTGCGGAGCTCGGCGCGTCGGGTGAACGTCTTGGCTGAGCTTCGTGCCGAGGAGTGCCGCTACACGACCCAGCACTTTGAGAACCTTGGACCATGATTGATGCTTCTGACTGCTTTGTGGTGGGGGGTCAAAAACGCGAGGCCCCCACGGAAGGTGTGACTGAGAGCCCCAAGCGTGGCAGGGAGGATGTGGTGACGCTCACCGCAATTCAGGCCATGCTGAAGCAACAGACGGACGAGATCAAGCGGCAGTCTGAAGAGCTTAGAAGGGCTCAGCTCCAAGACCTCAAGGACATTGCCAAAAATCTGGAGCAAACTACTAAACGGCAAGTGGATGAGATCCGTCAGGAAGTGACTCAGGTGAGAAAGGAGCTTGGAGACCAAGGTGGCCAGTTCAAAGATATCCAGGCGCATGTCCAGAAGCTTGAGCACAGGCTTCTCCTAGTTGAGAACAGGAGTCTGAGCTCTGCGGCTGCGTCCACAGCGAGTACTGAGCCCGACAGGGCGCTCAGTGTGATGGTCGGAGGGTGGCCCAGTGACACGAGGCGCGATGATCTTCTCGGCTATGGCAAAAGTGCGCTGCAGCGGCTGGATGCGCTCAAGTACCTGGACGCGGAGCTCTTCACCACGGGCCTCAGAAGGGGTTACTTGCTCTCGAACCTCAAGATTAGGACAGAGGAAAACCAAGAAAGTGCCAGGCAGAGAATGATGGAGTTTGTCAAGACCGTCAACGAGGCACAGTACAAAGCTGAAGGCATGCAGCCCTCTGGCAAGCTCTGGGCAAGCAAATCCCGAGGAAAGGCGGAGCGTGAAAAGGGGGCTCACGCGGGGAAGATCCGGAAAATATTCCACCAGGCGGCACCCCAGCTGGTACCTTCCCTTGAATGCGAGTACAGCAGCGGGACGGTGTTCTACCAAGCGCTCACGGTGGGCAGCGCTGCCATGATGAGGCCAGACAGGGGCAAAATAGCGGCTGGCCGTGGACCTGGATTCTGGGTCGACCTTGCAGGGATTGCCAAAGCGACCTCTAAGTCAGTTGATGAGGTGGAGCAGCTATGGAAGGCTGCCATTGCTAACTGACAGAGTGGATCGAAAGATGGTTTCACTGGCCACGTCGATGCCTCAGTAATCAGCTGGAACATTGGCGGAACAAAGGCCATCAAGGTGGGAAGTTTTCTTGAGTCTCTCCGTGTGGGCGGGGACGTGAGCGTTGTCTTGATCCAGGAGTACCCGAAGGGACCTCAGGGATGGAGCGAAACACAAGTTTGGGACAAGTTTTCTCTGATGTCATACCAGCCGCATGATGGATATCGTGGAACTGGGATTGCCTTCAATACTCAGCAGTGGACCCTCTTGAAGAGGAAAGCGACTGAGCATGGAACATGGTATCTCCTTCTGCGTGCGGAAAGTTCAAAACGAATATGGTTTGGCAGCGGATACCTGAGTACGGGTATCAACAAAGATGCACACATCAGTGAAGTTCAGACCCTGCTTGAAGGG